AAGACGTGTGGACTTTGCTGGCTGGGGAATTCTGGGAGTTGAAGTCCACACGTCTTAAAGTTGCCAAGGTTGAGAAGCACTGCTGTAGTGGAACCTGCATGAAGCAGACCGTTGGTTTAGATGACCTCTTAGGCCCCTTCAGATCTATAATTCTAAAATACTTTTCTCATAGCTGCATAATTTAAGTCAACTCCTCTAATTTAGGAAGAAAAACCATCAAGTCCCCCACAGTGGTCCAGTGATATTTGCAAGGTTCGAGCCACCAACCTTCCCCCACCTTCTTCTTTTCCTTCCTCTTCCTCCTCATTATTATTCCATTTGTCATCTAGCTGTCCCCCCCGCCAGCATTCATCACCGTGTGTTTCATACCTATTTCTCTCCCCAGCCTGGAAATCTCATTCTGATATACATTTCTAAGTAGATTTCTTCTGCAAAACGCACAATGCTTAAACGGATTTGATACGCAGCCGGGGGAACCTTCCTGTGACACTTGGGGAAGGGGATGTGGGTGGGTTGTGGGGAGCCAGGAGATGCCAATCAGGCCTGTTCAAATCAGACTTTGCAAGCATGAAAGCTTCCTGCATCCTCGAGTGGCGGAGGCCTCTCCAGCCAAATTCTCCTCTGCTGCGATTACATGCCTGGGCGGCTTCCATCTCGTTACGTCCCCGTGTGCCAGGACAGGAAGAAAGAAAATACAAATTGACAGGAGAGGTATAATCTGTGTCGAGAAGGTCAAAGCTGCACCCCCAGGGTCACGCTGCCCCCCTTCCTCTCGGGGGGCCGCCAGCACTTTGATCACACCGCGCCGTGTCGTCGGCTGCCGTGGCGTGGCCTTTTGTTCTCTTTTCTGCTCAGTCAGACCCGTGAAATTACAACCGTTTTTCCTTCCGGCAAAGAGAAATGTCTTCCTTCAGCGGTGGAATTAGAGACGGTTGACCAGCGATTCTGCCAGAGAAGAGAATCAGTGCCTAAATCTATCCTTATTTTATGAAATAGGAGCAGTCTCCAGTTCCACATAGTCTATCGCCACATAGAGAGAAACCTCATTTACACCCAATTCACAAGAGACAATAACAAGCTAAGAAGGAAGTGAAAAGACCAGAACGCCTCCTCTCCAGCAACCAGCACCCAGATAAGCAGGGATTGACACCAGACAAACAACCAAGCAGAAAACAATATCCCAATCAAGGAACTACCAAGGGGAAAACTACACCCCACCAACACTGACAGGGCAAGCTACTGTATATAAGCAGGGAGCAAACCCCACACTCCCTCGCACTGATGATGTTCTGTCTCCAAGCAAACAGCCAAGCTCAGAGAGCACCAAGGACTCCAGCAACCAACACCCAGATAAGCAGGGATTGACACCAGACAAACGATCAAGCAGAAAACAGTACCCTAGTCAAGGAACTGCCAAGGGGAAAACCACATCCCTATCAACACTGGCAGGGCAAGTGACTGTATATAAACAGGGAGCAAACCCCACACTCCCTCGCACTGATGATGCTACCTAGTCGGGTAACAAAACGTCTGCAAGAAAACAACCCAGCTCAGAGAACCCCCAGGACTCCACAGTCTCCAGTTTTGGGAGAAGGGGGCTGTGCCCTGGGGGAGGGTAGATATTTTTTTCTGCCGCTTTATATTTGGGAGGAGCCACTTTGGGAGGATAGAAAAGGATAGAAAAATCAGAGGCAGCTGGATAATGATGCCAAAAGGAGACATCGGTGAGAAGAGGCCATAGAAAAGGCGAATGCATTTTTGAGTTTTCAGGTCTAGGGAACGAATAGTACCTGCTGGCCTCGTCTGGTGATGTCATCTTGATTCTGGGCGTTGTAGTTTTTAAAAAGATCTTTGAGAAATTGGAGCAGGTTCAGGAAAAAGCGGGGAAGATGAAGAGGTGCTAGTCAGTTGGATGACCCCATACATGGATGGATGGATGGATGGATGGATGGATGGATGGATGGATGGATGGATGGATGAGAGAGAGGCCTTGGCATTTGGGATTTGAGGGAATGGGGAATCTCGAGCCTGCAGAAGGGAGGACCCTAATGAGGGTCACCTAAATCAGTGTTTCTCACTCAGCTGCATTAAGATGGGTGGACTTCAACTCCCAGAATTCCCCCAGCCAGCATGTTGAAGTCCACCCATCTTAATGCAGCTGAGATTGAGAAACACTGATCAAAGTCTTCTTGAGATCCTTGAAAAAGCCACAACAGTATATGTGGTCTCCGTTGCCCAGAGCCAGAAGCTCAAAGAGATGGACGGCCTGCAGAAGACGGTTTCTTTTTCCCATTTTCCCACTTTCTCTCTTTTGCCTAAAACAAAGCAAAACCAGCCCATTAAGGCTTTGCAAGTCTCAACCCGCCCATTTTGTTCCTTGATCCCCTTGGCTGCACCCTGCAAAAGAAGGCTTCCCAAATCCAGTTCTCCATGATGTCCCAATGCAGCTTCAGCTGCTTTTTCAGGCACAGCTCCCAGATTAAAACAAAAACCCGGCCTGTCCCCATCTCATGCACACCACTCTGGATGCACATCAGGAGAAGTGTCAGCGTGAGAGTAATGGATCGTGGGAGCAACCCAGAGGCACAAGGGAGCTTTCCGTCCCTTGCAGGGGAATGAGGGGGAGGGGGTTTCGAGACCTGCAAATGGTAGGTGTAGTGTTGCAATGGAAGCCCTGTCTCTTCTGGACACTGTTGCTAGAAATCAGGCTCCTGACATTTCTCCATCAAGCTGATTTATCCTGCATGGCTGGTGGGGGAGGAGGGCTATTGGTCATCCAGAGTTAGAATGCCAATAAGGCAGAACTTTGGGTAAACAGCTCATAGACTTCCCACCCAGCTGAACAAGCAGGAACTGCCATACCACCATCCGGACACAGCAGGCTTGGCTTCCCATGTTTTGAAATCAATAAAATAGCATAAGTCATCCTTGTTTAGCAATCACAATGGGGACTGGCCACTCGGGTTAAGCGAAGCGGTCGCTAAGTGAAACTGTGACTGTGCTTATGATCTGACTTCAGCGTTCCTTTGCTTCACAGACCTGCGAAGGTCGTCAAGGCGAGGATGGGTGGCAAAGTTTTTTTTTCATGACCGTCGTAACTGTGAACAGTCACTAAACGAGGCAGTTGCTAAACGAGGATCACCTGTAATGCCATTGAAAGTGGGGAAGGAGTTGTGTCCAGTTTCTAAAGCTGCGAAATTGCATCACTGCTGTTTCTTTTCTTCTCTGCCCCCCTCCAGATTCGGGAACTTCTTTCTAAGGAGGGTTTAAAGTTAGGGAATGTCTCAAACCCCTCTCCTTAAAGCTCCTTTCAAAGGGTTTTGGCTCCAGTCTGTTGAACCCAGCGTTGTTTGCCTGCATGGCATTCTAAACCCTGTAAGAAAATCGGTCTCTTCCCCGGGGAGGTTACCAATCTGGGATGTGGTATCCAAGGGGAAGCAGGGGTTAAACTGGGGAAGTTTTAAGGCTTGTACGAAACACATGCAGGGAGATTGTGCCAGGTGAGAATGTATTTTGTGGGCGATGCCAGAATCACAGTGATGGGAGATCACCTGCAGGTGGTCTTGCTCTTAGACGGGGAGGATGATCTTCTGTGATTCATCCCCACCTCTGCTGGTTGATCCTGAAAGCTGTGCTCCTCTCTGAGGCGTGACATCTGTGATCTTAGGGACTTCAGATCAAAAGCAAACCCGCACCTGGGGAGGCTTACAAAACCTGATTTATGCCCTCCTTTCTTCCACAGGAGCAGCCAAAGTTTCATGCACATGAAGTTCACCCGAACGAAGGACAACAAGTACATTCTGGGCCAAAACAGCGCCCCTTTCGACAGCGTCCCAGAGGTCATCCATCACTACACGGCCCAAGAACTGCCCATCAAGGGGGCCGAACATCTTTCTTTGCTGTACCCGGTGGCGGTTCAGACGCTGTAGTGCCAGCTGGGTGGAGGCCACGAAGTTGCTCTGGATCCAAAGAATCAGCCCTGGTCATTGTCCCGACCGGAGAAGGTGTCTTGCGGGCTGGGGGACTAGCAGACAATCTCTCCCCTTTGGATGGGAATTTCTCACACCGGAGAGAGGCCGCCCCGCTCTTCCTCTCCTGTTTTCAAGCAATAATGGTGCCATGCGGTAATTTCCTGTTCTTCCTGTAGCTCACTGGAAATCTGGAAAGGCT